TGTGTCATTTTATCTAATCGTCATAAATAAGCTTTTGTATTTGTGTGAATCTACATACTATTTAGAAGCGAAACGGTTTCTTCGTACATAATAGTCAGATATTCACATCCTCCAGGCATTGAATGTACCTAGAAGTGGCTAGGGATGAAGTTGTAATCGTCTGTTGAAAAGTTTTCTACTTCTGCTTCGGCGCGAAGATGTTATAAATTTTGTGATAACATAGAAAAACATTATTTTCACGCACATTAATTATCAAAGTTTCTTCAAACCAGTTGTTTAAAAACAAAAGTAGAAGAAAGTGAAAGTATTTGTTTTTAGGTTAAATTTGCATTATCCGTTGACTGATTATGTTGGACTGAAATGCTCAGTCTCTGTTGACGTGGTAGTAGTACGAATGATTCGACGATGCAAAAGGATTAATGTTAAGTGATTTCCGTTCGTGATGTCTAGCTTAAAAGTAGACTCTCGTGGCCTGCTGAATAGTGTTTTGACGTTTTTAAGCTATGGGTACAGAGTTCAGGTCTCAGCGGAAACACCATCACTCACTGGCAATAGGGGCATATCCAGTGAGGAGTCTCAAATAGGGTGAAACGCTCATCCTAGATTTTAATGCTAGTCGCCACTAACTAAAACAAATTGGAAGTACCATGACTTCCCCACTATTATTATTTAAAAGATTTTCTCAACTGTTCCATACCTTATTATCCTCACGATTGTAAGTAATAGTGGACAGAAGGTTTTACTGTGTGTGTTTTAGTTGTTCGGTATTGGTTTTCTTTCCCCACTGATACTGACACTATAAAGTGGAAGTGTTTGCATCTGCAAATACAAATGTTATTACGGGATAATAAATGTGATATGTGTTAGATATTTGAAGCAAAAAGAAAATGGACAAGAAAATATGTTTTTGCTTCTTGTGGTACTAGTTGGTCTCTTTCTTTCCTTTTCTTTCTTGTAAACACCGGTAACTATATGAAAGTAATAACTGGGATGGGATGAAATATTCTTTTTTATTATCATGCTTACTGTATAAACTAATCAGAATCATTATTTTTTTTTGGATAATTACTCTGAAGGTGAGTGAATAACAAAGAAAACAAGCGTTAGTTTGTGTGAAATAATAATTGCGGAACAATCGTCATTATATACAAGTTAGACTATAAAATTGAAAATGTTTTCAGAGACAGAAGAAGAACATATGCAAGAAAATTAGTGAGCTAATATTAGTTTTTACTCCTCTTTTTTACTATTCAGTGTAATGAACACTGATTTTGAAAATAAAACAGCCATAACAACAGCAACAACAACGGTATATAAGCTGTTTAACAGTTTCCAGCGAACATGGAACAATTAAAAGTGAAAATAAACATTACTAATATTTGTTTCATGGGGTGTGAAAATAATGTTAAATCTTTTTGAGGTTTCCTCCTTGTTCCCTAGAAACAAGTAATTCACCTGGATGTGATGAATAACTTAGTCAGCTTAATTCAACTTTAAAACATAACAGGTCTGACTTGTGCCAACCTGTATTTCATCATGTGTTTCTTTTTTCATTCCTTTGCCTACCGAGTGGAATATAGAGCTTCAAGTTTATTTTGCAAAATTTCAGTAGCTTTTGTGTTGTTTTTACTGTATGGGGAGGGCAGTCTGACGCCGAAAATTCCCTCTTTTCTGGATTTACTATTGGGTAGTAAGCTAGGAAAGCGTAGAATCTAATGTGCACTGAATACAACTAGCTTACGTCATGATTTCTTGCTCATGAAACCATATTCAGATTAACAGGTGTAACAGAAGCAATCACACTAATCAAAGAAACATAATAAAATGAAAATTCAGGTTGAAAACTACTCTTCTATGACTCTTCGGGATTAATAGCTTCTTAATTGATTAAAGGTGTCCATTATATAACAAGAGGTACGGTCGTCCAGTGTTTAGATCTCTTCGATTTAACTAGAAAATACTACTGGTTGGGGTAAGTGGTATACACCTACTCACCACAATCAGTCAGTAGATAGTCTTACGAAATAGTGACAACATTACATTAATGATAGGAAGAATACAAAGGATTGTTCATTGACTGCCTTACAATAAGTCAGAAGTTTCTCGCCTAAAACATTTTTCATCATATAGAATGTGCACCAAATAGGGTATTGTCGACGTTTTACGTTTAGTCATGCGAGTATTAAGTCTTTTATAATGACTTCTATTCCCACCTGGAGAATGTAATGCAAGGGTTGTGAATAAATAGGGTGCCGAGTGTCTAACAAGATGATTTCGCCATATATTTTACATGAGTTCAAGTGTGTGAGTGTGCCCATAACAGTATTAACCAGCTGGCTTAGGGACATACTACTGGCCATACGGACAGCTTTTAACGTCCTTCACAACATAAAAAAGTCTTTTTTAAAGAGCCTAAGAAAGACTAAGGGGGAACGATGCAGTTAAAGTAGAGGCTGAGTGCCACCAGTTTGTACGAACTTCCTTACATAGAAGGTTAAACGGAATATTTGTCTATAAATCAACAGGTTGTGTGAAGGCCAGGTAAGGTATTAACACTAGACTTAGTTTCAAACACTGTCTGTGTTACAAGGATTATAGGAACGACCCATTTCACGTAAATCTCATTTCTGTCTGGGAGTAAAATTGACAATTTGACATATAGAAGGGTTTAGCTTTAGACCATTTGCCCACTGGTGAATCCCTGGTAAAAGGCATTCATTTGGGAACCATATAATGCTGAAGTGATATAGCTCTGGGGGCTTTTTGATTTATCCTAAGAAAGTAGGTTGAAGATAATTTAAGGCGATTGTATAGTGGTGATTGCTTATTTTTGATACGTAAACTTTGAAAATAAATTACCGATGGAGTTATTCTAGTGTGTGAAATATTGTAGGTATTTATATTCTGCTTCAAAGATTTTAACAATACTACTGGTATTTGTATGCAGCCAGTGAGAGAAAGATCATCTAGGACTTAGAGCAACCTCCTTTGACTGTATCCAATAATCTGATGATTTAAGAATCCTCAGTTTCGTAAAAGGTTTGTATTCATTTACATCCTTGAACTGAAATCTTTTCACTATCTCCGAAATATTGAGTGGCAAAACAACAACTTAGTTAGACATCTGTCTATTCGAAATAAAAATACGGTATTCTTTGAAAGCACTGACATTTTTATATTTACTGACTAATTATACTGGCTTTATTTTATAATTGAATTGATTCATTTTAGTAAGTTCAGCAATGGGATAACGGAAGAGGTGAAAACTTTAAGCAATATAATGCTTCACTGTGGCTTTGATCAACTTTTTCTCAACTCACTGGTAGCTCACTTAAAATTGTGTGCTCATAAAGACGATAGCTTAAATTGCCTAACGGATATCTGGAAGATTCTCCTCTCCAAGAGATTCAAAAACTAAATTTGACATCATCTGTCTACTCAAAGGCTACAAGATGTATTTAAAATGTTTGCAAATCGTCAGTGAGCAAAGTAACTTGTCATTAGAGACCAATTTGTTTGTAAAACTGTTTGATTATTATGCTACAATACAAAACCATTCCCCATGGTTTAATTTGAACACTTTTCCACTTTTAAAAGGATGACACACGCAAGATGCTTTTCAAAATTTGTCAGTATCGATTGAGTCACTACTAGATTGGCAACTTCCGTAATTGTTGATAACATCTTATTGAAGAAACTTACTTCATTCTATTGATTCTTCAACAATGACGTTATCAGTCAGTTACCATTCATTAACATTTTTCAGATTTGGTTGAATTATAACACTCTACAAGTGTACTTCCTTTTTCTCCATCAATTCACTTTTCGATCAAACTAGTTGCTTAAAAAAAGGTAAGTCTAAGTGAGCCTGAAAACGAAACTACTGGAGTATCTAACTACTTTAAAAGTGTTAGTTTGGGGCTTTAACAAGAGTTCACGACTATGAGTAGCTTCACAGGGCAAAATAACAATCTTAAAGCACCCACCCTAATGGACTCCGCATGTCAGAACTTGCCACTAGCATTTTAGGCAAATTCAACCTGTAGTCAATCAATGGTAAGCACTAGATTGATTTTCTATTGTTGGTTTTGCGAGGATTTGATTGATTTGAGGGTCGATCATAAAATAACTTGAGTTAAAAAACTACTGGAAACCAGGGAGCACTTGACAGGTGTTTCGTCCCTGTTTCAAACTTTGCACCAGTACTCATCCATAATCGCACCGCCAGGGATAGAATGCAAAACCTTCAGGTCACAAGATGAGCTCTTTGATCATTCAGCCACTGGATTTGGGTCCAATGACTGATTAAAGGACAAATCTGCCTCAATTTCCAATGGAAAATAGTAATCAGAGGGGTCCACCAAGTTGAGCGTCAGGACAAATGTTAAACATATAAACGGATCTTTATCTTAACTGTGAAATTATTTTTTTAGACTGAATTTCTTTTTCGAAGTTAATTAACAATCCAAATTTCAAAACAACTGATTATTGTGTAATTTGCCTGTTCGTTATGATTTTATACTTCGATTGGTTTGTTTAACATTCTCCTCATTTTATTTCAATAGAAGGCAATTAATTCATTTCATTCGTATATCAGATATTTGCGCATTCACATTATAATGGATAACACACTGACGCTTATTGAAAATGCTCTGTTCAATGATTGGCTGATATTTATATAAAAAAGGGAGAAGTATGAAGAATACGTCCCTCTTGTCGTCTGATCAACCAATCAAATACAGAAAAGAAAATTAAGTCTTCCCTGCTTTGGTTTATTCAATGTCAGTGTTAATTCGTGTCTGTTAAAACAACACTAGAATATCTGACCTGACTGACGGGATAATAAAACCTTATTTTATTACGACAGCACTAAACACCAAAAAACCTCAGTTGTTTTAAAGACTGATCATTTCAATATAAAACTAACACATTTTGGTACAACAAAGGAACGGTGTCGTAAAAATTGTAATAACACTGACAAAATAACCCCTCTAATGAATATGAGCACTGTAAAAGAATCTGAGGTGTTCCTTTTACCAAATTACAAACAGCTTCATGATATAAATCAAAAAGGGATAAATAATAACGCATCAGTTAATACACCTTCTTTTACTTTCGACAAAAATCAATCAAATGGAATATCCGATCAGCTGTTATTGCACCAAGATACTTTACTCGATTTGTCAACATCACTGAATTCAGCGTTTACACCTTCTTCTTGTAGATATGCACCACAACATCAGCGGAATTATTCTTCTTCAGATGAATTCAACTTTCACATGACTTCTATGAAAAACAATGAGAAATCCCTGGTGAATGACAGAAATATCTCATTTTCAGAAGTGAGAAATAATGAAAATACTGCAGTTTATCCGTTAACACAGAGCAATTGGTCACAGAGTTGCATGCATCAATTCAACAAACGGAATGTTACTGCTTTGTACGAAAATGAAAATACTGATATCGGTGAGGATGACGACAGAACAGCTGAACAAGACGAAGATAACATTAATAGTAATAATAATAACAATGATAATAATAATAATAATGATAGGGAAAACATCTTCACAGAAATCTCACCAACATGGAGTAATGAATTTGAAGAGGAGAAGTTATTCAGTACAACAGAATGTCGCGTGAATCACTTAGATAAAATCCATTTTGAAAATTCAACATCACTGATCAAAAAATCGACAATGACAACAGCTAAGCCTCCATATTCATATATTGCATTAATTACAATGGCTATATTGCATTCACCTAAACGTAAATTAACTCTCTCTGGAATATGCGATTTTATCATGTCCAACTTCCCGTATTATCGTGAACGATTTCCAGCATGGCAAAATTCAATTAGGCATAATCTATCCTTGAATGACTGTTTTGTCAAAGTGTCACGTGAACCTGGGAATCCTGGTAAAGGGAATTACTGGACACTTGATCCACAATCTGAAGATATGTTTGATAACGGTAGTTTTTTGAGGCGTCGTAAACGTTACAAGCGTTCATCATCAACAGTGGAATCCAGAACACATAGTCTTGGACGCAAGCCACACCAACACTGTAATCACAATAAATTTAACTCAATTTCAACAGATTTAGAAAATGAGAATAAAAAACTATGTTGTTATCCTACAAGACCTAAATCCCTTTCACCAAATGAACCAGTAACAAATACAAAAGCAACTGTGGAAAATGTTCTAATTAAACAGATTCCCTATTCTACAATGCTTCCATCTGCTTTTAATTTGGAAATAAACAGTCTGCCAATGAATCATTTAACACCATGCTATTCAATGATACCACCTCCTAATTTCCTGATCCCTAATCTAAATCAAATTGATTCCAGAGATAACACGCTAAATCCACAGACTTTTCATCGCTCACATACTGATAACAATCAACATTTCCAGCAGTCAATAGATAATATTCCACTCCTTAATTTTCTACACTTTCCGTCTATTTCTCAAGTGTTTATTAATGAGTGTCGATCAATAAATAGTGAACTAGAATCACGTATTACTGATGAATTAATCCTCAGATCGAACTCAACATCATCTAATAAAACACTAATAATCAATTACAAATCAATTGAAAAAGCTTCAATAAATTCAAATATGGATAAATTTTCTATTGATTATTTACTAGACAAAAGTGAATCAGAAGTCGATTCAGCTTTATAGAGAATTCGAACAACTTGACATTCATTATATAACACTATTTATCATAAACAAGATGACTTCAGCTAACTTTTACGTATAATATTGCTGATAAATTTTGCCAGAGTATCAATGCGTCAGAAGCCACTTAACTGTTGTACAAAAAACATACATCTCAGATTTTTCAGTTATTTCCCACTTACTGTTATCTTTCCCTTAACAAGTACAGTGCAAAAAACATGCGTAGTTAAAATACAACGTAATTCTCTTGAAATGATTCTCCTTTGTGTTTTAAAATTGTGAATACTGTTTCGTAAGTCAATTTAAATTTGGTTTCCCTAAATAGTGTGATGTAATACTTCTTGGTTAAAAAATTAATGATACTTCATACATGCTCAGTGTTGAATGAGTTCAGATAGATCCATAGTCACACGAATTCTATACAGAATGCGAACTTAACTAACCAAGCTTTGTGGAACTAGAAACTCTGTAAGTTGCCTACATCTGCATACAATATTTGGGGGCATTTAATCATGCGTGAATGTATAGACGATTGAAGAAGATATTAAAAAACGAACAGAATATTTAGCCTATGTTCCAGGTATCTGAAACCTATCTGTTTTGAAGCTACTGAAGTGAGGACCAAGAGACTCAAGATGTGTAAGGGAGTGGTTGTGTTGTTAACATACTGTCCTCTACCAGCTTTACTAAACTCCCTGTGTTCAATTACCTACTTAATCAATATACTACCTAAGCTAAAAGTGCCAGTAACAGAAAACAAAGCACAAAAAGACTGATTCATTTATACAGGTACTGAGATGATAGTTATATTTTAATATAATAGAATGTTAAGATTACTCCGGGGAAACTATAAGGACTTTCTTGACTGTTATGTTTGGACTATGGACTCTGAGGAAGTGCGTGTTACCAGCAAAATTAGCATATAAGCTTAGTCGGATATGTACCTGTTAAAACAAAATTTGAAAAAAACAAAGCCAGTTTGTTTTATTATTTTATGAACCCTAGATTCCTTTTGATGTTATGGAAGGTGTAGATGCACTTAGGGTAGTTGATTTCAGTCCTGTCTTATTAAATTGGAATTACATCACGCTGCCGTATTTGGTTTGATCTCAGCCATAGATAATGATCATTTGACGACATTCAATTAGGTGTTTTCTAACCTAATCGCAGTTCATGCTAGTGCATCTATCTTGTAGTGCAGAATTGCTTAACTTTTGTTTACAGTTTTATCCTGACTGCCACAATATCGTGTATAGGTGTTTTTTCGGGTAAAAGAAATACCTTGATACTTATACATTACTGTATAAATCAGTAATTTAATAATCCAGCCAATGATACAACTCCTTCAACCAAGAATTCTACTATCATACCGATGAAATGTAAGTTGTCTGTAGAGTTGCATAAATTCACCCCAGATTTTAAAAATTCCAAGTTGTTATGGTTGCAGTCAGTACACAGTGTTCTCTTGTCATCCATGTGTTTCACTGAAGGATACGCTTAATTTAAAAAGGCTGACCAGGTATTTTATAGATGGCTGCAAGGTGACGGGAATAAAGTTTTCAAATCTACTGAATAATATCTCATCCTTATTCATATGTTCAGCGTCTGATCAATAATAGTGTATTGTAAAAGTGCGTGATAGTCAGAATATTAGAAGAATGAAGTGATCACTGAAGAATTAACAAGTCGCATAAATACAGTGGTATGGATGTGAGGAAAAAATTGTGCTCGAAACATCATCAGTAAATATTACTGTATAACATTGTATGGATTTATCAAAATAAATTTTATCCATAATGGAATTATATTCTACCACAGTGTCTAAGTTTTATCCTTATATCAGTCATATCTAACATTAAGATTTAGGGCTAATATATACAACAACGTATCCTGGCAACACACACCATCGTTTCACATCTAAATATCATGATATCAGGTCAGATGAAGTTGGATGATAACGGTTACACAAAGAGTGGTGGACACTTACTATCCCTCATTACTAATGTGGACTTTAACATTAATACCTATAAGAATGTGAATGACAGTAGTAACTTTATGATCAATGCATTATGAAAGTATAACTTAAACAGTTGATTAACGTTCAAATGTAATTCACATACATGTACAAAATGTTACTGATACAAGGAAAATAGTCCGTTCACTCTTTGAAAGCTTATATTGGTTTAAACCGTATCATACGTAACCTAAGTCCTCTTACCGCTTGAGTTATCTTTCAAGAATAGAAAGGATATGCAACATTTCTAATATAGGCAGGTAAATCTGTCGTTTAAACTATGCTTCACTAACTCTAACAGGAATGGATATATCTGTTTAGCTAATCTTGTAGCAATCTTTTGAAACAATCAGTTGTGGAGAGTCCATCAAGTATTGTGAATGAGAGTCGAATTGAAACTATTGATTATATGACAATAGAAAAATGGATTGTAAGAAAAGTATTCAAAAAAAACAACAACAACAAAACTGAATAACTACCGTCTAACTCTGTCTACAAGTGGTTACTCAGTACATATGGTCTTTTGAACACCACACAAATCTACTGCTTGAATGTAGTCACACAAAACTCATTCATTGGAACCAGTTTGCACGAACATGGCAACAAACACTTGGAATGACAGTTTAAAATTCACCCGAAAGTTAGCGAATTCAAATGTCGATAAGACAATGTATTAATATCAGTAGCTGAAAATCAGATTTTACATCTCTTAGAGTTGTGAACAATTATTTCTTATTTAAATTACTGTTGCAACCAGTTGGATTAATGAGTGGATATTTAAGGTTGTTTTAAGGGCATAAAGCGCTGAATGAATGATTTCATCTGAAAGTTTAAACCATAGTAGAAATTCGGTAAGCATATGTAAACACTAAAGCATTTAGTAAATCATTTTTGACCATAGAATAGAATCGAACCACTTCTTAAGGTGGACTTTCAGAAAAAGACTGAAATTCAGAGAACAGTTTAAGGTAAAACGAATTTCTGTTCGACTGTACTTTCTGTAATATCCACTTAATATCTTTATTTTATTTAAATTATAGTTTTTGCAATTCATTCCCCTTCCGTGTTAAGTTCTTTTAGCACAGGAGGAAGGCATGCGAATCTTGTGAATAGGGTATATTATAATAACTGGTTATTACTACAGACTGACATCCCAATATATCAGCTGATATCTAGTCGACCTTACACGTCTTCAACCTCCGAGAGTGCCTTAACAAGTTAGTATGAGTTTTGAAACCGTAGGAAGGTGTGAACTAAGCAAAAGATAAAAAAGCGTCATTTTCAAAGCAAGATTTACAACATCTTCGATGGGAAAGTATCCTCAGGATAGCGGAGTCGAAACTAGACAGACAGTAAAGCGAAAACCTTGAACTGAATAAATATCCCCAGGATCCTAATGATTCAGCGTCCATTACTGGGAAAAGTTGACTACAAGGTTTGATAATGGTATAAGAAACCATTCCGTTTATTTTTACTATCATGGTGGTTGCCTTCATTTGATGCTTGTTTTAAAGTATTTTGCTGTTGTTACAAAAAAATCAATCTGAATCAGTAGTTGGACAATTCATGTTATTGAAAGATGCTAGACTCCATACACTGGCAGCATACGCATCCACTAGTTAATTTGATACAAATAAGAGTCATCTCAATTCGTACGAGCTAGCATTTTCTTCTTCCGATTGGAATGGTTATTTATTTACAAAAGTCTCTTAAATTTATTTTCATTTTGTAATACCCAACATGTTCACATGGTCCCTGACTTGTTTATTTATTTATGTACTCCTTTATTTTATTTATTTATTTTGGAACATTTCCCAGGAAAAGCTAAACGTAATAGTCGAAATCTATAATTGCGGACAATAAGTACTATTCTGCCTTACATTATCAGTCAAAATAAGAATGCTATAATCACGTAGAAAATGTGTCAAGTATGTTTGTTTATCCACCTGACTAAACGGTATGAATAACAATTCTAGTCAACATAGGCATCAGCTGTTGTATTGATTCAAATAAATTACAGAATTTCCATTGAAGAATATTCACTACACTTGTAATACTGTTATTATTTGTTTAAGCCAATTTATGAGTTTTCAGTTGATTGAATGGACCGAAATATTCAGCCTCTGTTAAAATGTCAGCTGCCAATGCAGACGCTTCAGCGTTATCTCAGGACTATGTGGTAGATGGTGGACTAACAGTGGAATCCAGGATGCGCGATGCACAAGGGGTTGTTCAAGTGGTCTAGTGGATAATGGCTCGATGTTTGAAATGGTGGATGCTGGGTTCGAATCTCAAATGGGAACACACCCATTCACTAGGGGATGCAGGCACATCTTGCTGATGGGTCTCAAGTATAACAAAATGCTCATCCTGGATTCTACCTGTAGTCACCATCCACCAAATTATTTCTAGTGTAATACTGAATTGAATAATAATAATAATAATAATAATCGGGTTGAAAACTGTTAGGAATACTTTGTTTGCATGTTTCAAATCAGGCAGTATCATACGCTTTGCTTCGTACATATGTACATATATTATGATACATGTAGAGACTGATTGGCATACGGTCAAAACACTTTTTACTAATGTTCATTTCTTTCCAGATAGGATACTGAGCACATCTCCATTGCGCTTGGTTCTCTGCTTCACTTTCAGCAGCCTCCGTGAATGGCCAAAAACTGCCGTTCTCCCTTTACGCTGAAAATTCCATGCTGTAAATTTTTATTGTTGTGGAATAAAGTGATTATTATTATTATTATTATTATCTCCCGCATAGTACCCTCTGACGCACGCCCACTCGAGCACTTGGAGTATAATATCATTTGAACGTCTCTTCAGTGTATATCCAATCTATGTTGATTTCCTTCTGCATATTTATTAGTCAGCGGCTTGTTGGCTGGTTCATTTTTTGTCAAACTTCTTCGCTAATCATTTTTCCGGTTACCTTATCTTCAGTATCCAGCTATAGAACCTGTTGATGAATCTT